ATGGGCATTGCACCACACAGGTATACTTACCTACATGTAGGCAATACACATACACATAAAATAAAAAAAAATAAACAAAATTAAAAAAAAAAAAAAAAAAACAGGGTCCCGAAAACAGAAAGCCCTCTGCCCATGGACATGTCGTGGCCAAACCCTTCTGTCGTGCCTTATAACTCCAGAGTTGTTCTGTCTCCTTCCTGTGAAAGCCTTTAATAGCAAACCAGCTCTCTCTCTCTCAGCTGGATCCTCTTCCCAGGCTTAGGGAGGTAAGGGATGGAGGCTTTAGTAACGGAAAGGCTGGGCCACATAAGCAACTGTCTCTGATTTACATTTGCTGGGTGACCACAGCTGTTGAATACCTTTTTATATATGTATCAACCACTTTTGTAATTTCTTTGAATAAGTATCTTTTTTAAAAACTCTTTTCTCCTTTTTATGTTACATTGTTTGTCCTTTTATTGTTGAATTGTGTTCTTTGTGTATTATAGATATGAATTCCTAATCAGATATATGATCTGCAAATACTTTCTCCCATTTTATAGTTGTCTTATGAACCACAAAACTTTAAAATTTTGAAGTCCAACTTACCTATTTTATTCCTCCTCTCCCTTTGTATAGGTGCCAAACTACTGCCTAATCCAAAGTTATGAACATATTTACTCCTGTTTTCTTCTTAATGTTTATAATTTTAGCTCTCAGATGTAGGTTGATAATTTACTTTGAGGTCATTTTGCATATAAGTAAGGGCTTTCAAGCTTTTTGGTTTATTTATTATTTTATGTGTATGATTGTTTTTCCTGCATGTATATAGGTGCACCTGTGTATCCAATGACTGTGGAGACCAGAAGAGGCCATTGGATTTGGAGCTGGAGTTAAAGACAGTTGTTAGCTGCCATGTGGTTGCTGAAAACTGAACCTAGGTCCTCTGCAAGAGCAGCCATTGCTTTTAACCTCCAAGTCATCTCTCCAGCCTGACTTTCAAGCTTTTCTATGTAAATATCCAGCTATGTCAGCATTAGCTACTAAAGACATAACTTTTTTGTGCCTTAGAAACCTTACCTTACATCTGAACTTAAGAGACCATCCTATAAAGCACTAGGAGTATTTAGTGAGATACAGCCTGTGGTGTCTCTGGTATGAAACAGTGAATGTCTACAAATGAAGGAATGAACAGCAAATCTGGAAGGGTCCTAATCACTGGCCATCATTTCTTCTATCTGACCAGGCTGTCAATCTCTGAAACTCCTTAGATGCAAGGCCCTATTGCGTTGTCATGTGGCCCTATGAACCTGTTGCATGGCCCGTGCCATCCTTAAGATGTTGGCTGGCAGCCTCTCTCCTGTACATCCCTGTGTGGTCCTGATTATTTCTTTTTCTTCCCTCCTTTTTGTCCTTTCTAACTTTCTACCTTAATTTTATGGATTAAGTGCTTTTTATCTTGATTACTTGATTAATTAATTTTAATTGTGAGCTCACTTAAATCTGTTATGGCATGGGGGTAAAAAGGCATGAAGGAGTCAGTCCATTAATTAAAAGGCCCCTAATTTAATGACTGCAAAGTGATGCCCCTATAGGGATAAGGGGGTTGATTCAGGTCACCCTGTGTGCAGTGTCAGAGATGGGTCTGTATGAAGCTGACTCCTGGCTGTTTACATCCCTTTCTCCCTTTCCCTCTCAGAAAGATCCTTTTACATCATGTCTCCCTCCTCCTTGGTGTTTGCAACACTTCTAGATTTAGTTTCGCTCTGAATTTCATTAGTGTCCCATTTGCCTCCTCTTCCTGATCTCTGAGGCAGGCAGTAAGCAGGAGGAGGTCTTGCTGACAACCAGGGCTCCCCACTGCCTGACTGCAGGCAAAGAAGACATACAGAGAAGGAGCCCAGGGACCCTGGGCTTTAACTGCAGACAGAGTTCGGCTTCATTCAGCTGAAGCCAACAAACAGTAACTGGGTCCTGGCTGTGTGGCAGGCTCAGAGACCAGGGGCTTCTTGCCCTGGAAACTCCTGGTTCTCAGGGAGATGGGTGGACAATGCTTGTGTGATATGCTGCAGGGACCTCTGCTCCTTGGCAGGCAGAGGAAGTCTACCTCCTTGTAGAGGGGGGAAAACAGTGGACATATCCTGACCTGAGGGTGCAGCACTGGTCAAGGCAGGGCTGCTGGGAATGGCAGGGAAGCGAGCAGCAAAGGAAATTGTACATCAGTCAATACTCATTCATTCACGCACTCTGCCTGCCTTTACTGAATGTCTGCCACATGCCAGGCATGGTTCCAAACATGAGATAACTGCAGGGAACTGCATGAAGGATCTCCATGCCCTCCTGGAGCCTAAATTCTAATGGGATAGGTTAGAAAATAAACACACTTATCTAGCAATATATACCGTACCTGGTGGAAAGAAATGCTATGTAAAAAGTTTCAAAGAAGAGCGTCCCAGAAAGACCTGGACTGGGAGGGCTGGTCCTTCCCACAGGGTGGTAGGACCTGGACTGGGAGGGCTGGTCCTTCCCACAGGGTGGTAGGGATGGCTCTGCCCTTCACACACTTCTTGCTGCTCCTCTGACCTCTGCAGCCACTCGGGTAACTAACACACCTGTATCGAGGGCCTCTAAGCCTACAAAGGCAGCTCACTGGGACAATGACTTCAGATCTGTTGCCGTTTCCTTTGCCAGAAGTGTTTTCTCGAAAGCTATGGAAAGCCTCTATGCTTTATGCCCTGAAGCAGAAATGCTTTTATGGTTCAGGGAGTACCAAAGAGATAAATTGCATGAGAGACCAGTGCAGAGAGAGCTAGGTGGGAAGAGGACAGGGAGGGTAGAAGCGGGGAGGGGGCAGATCATATCGGTATGGGTAGGTGGTAGGAAGGCATCTATAGCTTTTCTTCAGCATGAGGCAGGCAGTCACAGGAGGATTTGTCAGGGGAATGATGTGACCTGGGAGGTACTATGACAGTTGCCTCTGTGCTAGACAGAGGAGAGAACAAGGCTGCCAAGGTCAGTGAGCAGGGTACCATCAGAATCCAGGACTGTGACAGTGTCTGGACCAGTGGAGACAAAGGAGGTGCTCAGAGGGAAGAAGCAAGGACGGAATACAGCATAGAATGCAGGGGTGGGATGGTGGGTAAGAACTTGCTTGCTGCTGCCAAACTTAACTGTGACCCCCACCCTGCCAAATTCACTTCTTTCAACCTAATATTTTCACTCAGTGTCTTCCTTCCCTCCCCTGGTAGAGAAGAGCTCAACAAGCCTTGCTCTGGGCCCAGCTCTGTGGGTGTCATCATCATGGTGATGAGCAATTCAGTCTCCCTCTGTCAGAGCTGACATCTACCTCCAAGGTGTAGCACTGCAGGGTATTGGGGAACCAAGGAGAGAAAGCCCTGGTCAGAGAGGGGCTTAAAGGAGATGAAAGGAATACATTTCTAAGGTTTATATGGAGTGGGATAGACTCAGTTACCTCTTTTTCTGTATCCAAAGTCATTGTTGCATATGACCCTAGGTGGGGCTGAGGGGCAGACCTTCTGCTCCTACCCTATCCTGCTGAGTGATGCTCAGTTTTCTTATCTTAAAAATGGGGCCATAGGAACTGGCTCATGGGTTGTGGGTGTTAAGTGAGATGTATAAATCAAGCCTTGGGTATGATGCCTCAATAAATGGGATCTCATTTTACCTGTCTCTTCATATTAAAGTAAAAAAAAAATCTTGGAAGATCTTGGAGCACCATCTGTCTAACCTAGAGCATTGTCTTAGCATGCTGGTACATACGCTTCAGGTATCAGAAGCTACCTCAGCTTGCTCCTTCCCTGGGCTGTGGCAACTACTGCACACATCTTTGTTGAACAGCTAAATGAGTGGTGGAAACAGAGGTTATGGGAGGTCTGAATTTTGACATTTTGCAATTGAGTGACTTTGGACAAGACAATGAATGCCCCTGAGCCTCAGCTGCTGACCTGGAAGACGGACATAATTGTCTACTCCGGCACAGATGCTTAGGGCTCATTCACTATCCAAACCTTTCCCAGAACCCTGAACATCAGGCGGGGGCTGTGATGGCCCATGGGCAGGCTGAGTGGGTCACTGATCCAAAGTACTTCAGAGCCAATAACTACTACTATCCACTGCTGATACCAAGACTGACACATGTTCTGGGTAGTGCGCAGGGCTTTCTACCCATGTGCATGAGCCTTTAGCACGAGTAAGAAACAGAACTTTGCTCTGTTCAGCCACCAGGATTCTGGAGTTGACTCATTACTGCAGCATTAAGGAGCCCAAAGGGTCCACATGTCACCTCATATGACTTCTCAGAGGTTAAGAATCAGCTTGGTGCAAGTGGGTGCAGAGTAGGTCTTTAATGAAGAGCTGACTCCCCTGCCCTCGCTCCTGTCTTTGCCTCTGTAGCCTCCTTCACTAGGACCTAATACCATGCATGATGCTGCCCTTCTCTGGGCCACACTCCTTCCAGAGAGACTTCTTGGACCCTGGAGTACCTCCCTTATGACAATTTCCCACTCACTTCTCTCTTCCTATTCTGGAACTATGTCTTTGGTCTCACCACCAGCTCCAGGACCTGCACAGTCATCCCCTGGATGAGAGCTGGAAGCCACCACTGCCCTTGGTTGTCCTGGACAGACCTGAACATGCCTATTTGCTGCCAGCACCATCATTACACCTCTGATGGATACCCAGCCCCTGTCTACCCTGTCCCCTTCACCATGCTGTCATGCTTGTAGTTTGAAGTGGAGGCAGAGCCTAGAGACAACAGGCCTGCAACAGTGCTATAATTGGCTCACCAGGCAAATAAGTTAAGACATTTCAGCTCCCAGAAGCCTTTGCCCTCCCTTACCCTCAGTCCCCCTATTAAGAAGTTCACTGCCACTGTTACTTGACTTCCTCCACTTTCTACACAGTCTGAAAAATACACACATGTTCAGATTCTAAGTCGCATTCCTCATCAAGCCTCAAGCTTAAAGTTGACGACGGAAAATCAGAGTGAACAGGGGACTTACCTGGCTCCATGTCAACACTTTGGGAAGAGTTGGTGTCTGCAGGTCCTGCAGCCCTCTCTCCAATGTCATTGGATCCTGGAGGACAGGGTGGGATGCTTTCTGTAGAAGCAGAGGAGACTAGATTAAGCAAAGTGACAACATGGTTGGTTGCCAATGGTTTGTCACAGACCCCCTCCCTAGGAGTTACTACAGATGCATGCTAGTCGTAAGCTTGTTCCTGGTCTCATGGTCATGAAGAAGAGCAAGTGGGGTTGTGAACTCTGCAGACACCCAACCAATACATCCTCCCCACAGCCTTTCCAGGAGGCCTAGGAGTGACTCCACCTGTGCTGAGGTTTCCTCTTGTTGGGAGAGTGATGGCCTTGTCTTACAGTCATTGCTATATGTATGTTTTCTTGTGGACCTCTTCAGGCAGGAACTACGTAGCTGGTCTCTGCAACCCACGCGCTCAGCACAGAGTTTGGAGTGGAAGAGTAACTTTTTGATGAACAGAGAAGATTGTTCCTCTGCTGTGATGGGATGGAAGTCACACAGCATGGTACTGAGCCCCAGGGGTACTAGCTTTGTGACAGTTCTGTCAGTGGCTTGCCAGGTAAATGTGAAGCATCTCTCTGAGCCTCAGCATCTGGCTTATGAAAGGGACCTACTTCCTTACAGTCGGCCTGTGGAGTGTCAGGGTCACCTGGGCAGGGGTCCTCCCATGAAAGAGCCCTGCTCTGGCCCTTATGCTGCCGCAACCTCTGCAAATAACTTCCCCTTTCTAAGCCTCAGTTTCCTCATCAGGAAGAAGAACATTCTGGAGTGGGTGGCATGTAGGTACTTTTTGGTGCTAGAATTCAACAACCATGGATTTGACTCATCTCAGCATTAGTTGTGTCTTTACATAATAAACACTTATCAAATGAATGCAAGAAATTCCATCCCATTTGAAAGAAAGGTAAGGAGAGGCTATATGGTTTTAAATCATTGGCCTCAAGTTATTGCATCAAGAGGAACTGGAATTTGAGCACAGGCCCTCAAAGACTCCAGGCCCATAGAGCATCCTAGATACATGAATACCCCTAAATGTCCACTGTATGAAGAACTTACAGGCTGAAGAACTGTGAAAGTGCTTAAGGTATCTAGTTTTTGTTTTCAAACTATTATTTGAGAAGTTCTCCAAATAGGTATTTTCCAAGTATACCTAGGAACCCAGCTAAGAACTCATTAAATGTCTCTTATGAGGTGAAGAATTATTGGTAATTTCTATTAAAAACAAAATTCTCGTAAGTGTGAACATTAGATAGCTTCCCCTGGATTTCAGATGTTTCTTTACTGCAAATTCTAATTATTCTAAGCAGAGAATAGCCACCAGGTAAGAGTGTTTCCAAGTGCCCAAGTGCAAGTTCTCTGTCCTGGCCCCAGGGTCAGGCACCCCTGACCTATGAGCTGAGACAGAGCAATGAGAGAGAAAGTCTGGAGGTAAAGCTAGAAAAGTCTGATACATTATAATAGAGGGCCAAAGAGATGGCTCAGCTAGTAGAGTGCTTGCCACACAGCATGAAGACCTAGGTTTTGGCTCCCCAGAACCTATATAAAACTGTGGGTTTGGCAGTGTGCACCTGTAATCCTAACAATGGTGAGATGGGAGGCAGAAATGAAAATCCCTGGAAAACTTGGTGAAGTTCCAGGTTAGTGGGAGATACTATCTCAAACAAAGAGGGGAAAGCACTTAAGAAGACACAGCCAAGGTTGTCAGAAGTCAGAAGTCAAAGCCTCTGACTTTCATACACACGTGCACATACATGCACCGGTGCATTTGCACACACATGAACATCCCCACACAGGAACATGTGCACACACACAATAAAAACATATACTTATAAAGATAAAAGTTAGCATACTAAGTAGGATATGTCTCTGATTCCATGTCTCTCAAAGGGCCATGGGACCAAGTTCCTGCTTATTGTGCGTTATTCATGAAACACTCATCCTCAGGCTTTCAAACAGAGCAGGAAGTTGTCTTGTTCTGCAACACCCATGGTTGAGATAATGCATGCCCTGTGTCTGGACCTCTCCCACGTGCCTTGTACCTTTTAGGATCTGTTGGGTTTGTTCCAAAGGATCCTGTAGGAGCCTCCATGTATCTACTGACCTGGGTGCCTGAAACACTGCCAAGGTTGTGGGATTCCACCTTGTCTGAGATGGCCGCAGGCTAGAGCTGCTGGCCTTGGCTTCTCACCTACAGGTCTCCCTAGCCTCTGGGGGAAGCTACAGAACCACGGCATTTATTGCTTGTCTACCTTCATCTTGGCCAGGGATTCAGGGAAAATCTTACCTCCTTTTTGGTTTTCTTCTCAGCATTCCTTCTCTTTCAAAGTACCTCCAGTAAGCATCACAATGATTGTTAATAAAACCAGGATACTCATGGTTGCTGAAAAAGTTTTAAAAGTCTTCATATGCTGACACTCCACTGAGGGGATGTCCAGGAAGGAAGAGACAGTGACATCCATTCATCTACTCATTCATTCATTCATTCATTCATTCATTCATGTATTTGTATACTGAGTCTGAGCTGTTGTCCAGATACACTGAGGATCCAGAACAAGTCCTAACTTCTAGAACTCACAGATTGGCAAGGAAAACAAGGTGTGGCCATGAAGAACTAGGATGCCTGGCAGTTGTATAAGACATACAGATCAAACCTAATAAAGGGCAAGGACGGAGGGATCTCCTTGACTGACAGATCCAGAAGGACTTACTAGAGCATGTGTTGTGGACGCTCAGCCTTGTCCCAGAGATGGGTTCAGGGTAGGGAGCTTCAAACACGTACAGGGGAAAACATGACAAACACATGCTCTCATTCAGGAGTATGGCTGTGCACAGAGCCACATAGCACACTGCACTGAACAGAGAATGAGAGCATCAACAGGCATGGGCCTGGTCAGTTCCAGCCTGATTTGTACAAGTCCTATGTCTGAAGTATGTAGTGTCATCAGCCATAGGGTCTGGGAGACAACCAAAGACTATGGCGGTAGCCTATATTGTTTTGGGAGTCTCTTGGACTACCTTGACCATCAACTCGAAGGGAGATTCCCTTGCCTGGCATTGGGATTTTTGCAAGATAGCCTTTAGCTCTATACAGGCACACATATACACATTATATATGTATTTTTAAGTAAGCTTATAAAATAATACACTTCCCTATGGCTTTTTCAGATACCCTATTATTTACCTTTCTTTCCTCCTTTCTTCTCCCCAACCAAAGTCTCTCCATATTTTTCCCATTTCCCCTTGATAATGCCGCCATCCTACTATCCTCCTCTCTAGAGCGTCCTCCCCCAGCCTCACCCCATGGTCCCTTTCTGCTTTCCTGGCTTCTTCGGTTACTGCTTACCTACCCTCATCTAAAGACTTGGAGCTAGGTTCCAGAAATAAGGGAGAACATGTGGCATCGGTCTTTCTGGGGCTGGGTTACTTCACTCAGTCCCCGAGGACTAGCACTCACAATATCTGAAGGTGCTACATAAGCTGCCAAGGGAGAAAAGCAATCAGTACTCCTGCCTAGCTGTAAAGCCTGTGAATCACAACGATGGTCCATCAAAATATCTCTAATGGTGCAATAGTGACATTTATTCATTCATTTATTTTTTTTTATGATGAGTATACTGCCTGCATATGTGTAAGTGCACCTGTGCTGTGCAATGCTCCTAGAGGTCAGAAGAGGGCATAGAATTCCCCTGGAACTGGAGTTCCAAATGGTTGTTAGCTGCCATGTGGGTGCTGGGAATTGAACCTGGGTCCTCTGAAAGAGCAGCCAGTGCTCTTAACCACTGAGCCTTATCTCCATCCCCAATAGTGGCACTTTTCTCTTGGGGGTTACCAATAGCTGTCTAATCAATAGGAGGGAATTCTTGACTGTACTATAAATGTAGACAAATACTCATGGTTGGAGAGTCACAGACCCTAGAGGAGAACCTACCACTGCTGCTTTCCTAAACCAATATAATTTTTAACTATATTCTAAATAACTTATCCTTATATGCACAAAAACATGTTGCTCTCACCATTCATCAAAGAAGCTTCTTTTTGCAAGAGATGGAAACTATTACAGAGTTCCACAACTGGTCAAAAGACAGAGAATAAGTGACCATGAGGAGCCCAGGCCAACTGGTACATCTATAATGCAACCCTTACATCTAAGGCTCAGGCAATAGCATGGAAGAGGTGCAAAAAGATTGCAAAAGTCAGAGGACCAGGATGCCTGCTGGCAGATACGGTCTCCTAGACATGACACACACCCATGACATGCATCTGAACAACATGGTTGCCTAAAAGACACCTGCATAATGAGACTACCAGTTGACAGGCCAAAATGGATGGGGGAAATTTCACAAGGTTCTACCTCTAGATGAAGAGCTTCAGGCAATCAGTGGCTACTGAGGTAGAGAACTAGGTTTTTCCAGGGATGAGTTCCCTAATAGGTTATTCAATCCAAAGCGTCACTAAATGGACTCAGTAGACTGTATGTGTGTGTGTATGTGTGTGCATGTACATATGTATGTGCAATAATAAAGAATAGCGGAGCATGGTGACACACGCCTTTAATCTCAGCACTTGGGAGACAAAAGCAGGTAGATCTCTATGAGATCAAAGGCAGCTTGGTCTACATAGTGAATTCCGGGCCAGTTGGGACTACAGGGAGACCCTGTCTTAAAAACAACAACAACAAAATAATAATAACCAAAGAAGAAGTCACACTGTTGAGAGGGAGTTGGGGGAGGGAACATTGAAAGAGCTGGAGGAGGGGAGAGGGAGAGAGGGTTGGGTGAAAATGATGTAGATACAGTGCTAATGTATGAAATTCTAAATAAATAAATAAAATTTATAAGGAAAAGAAAAACAGGGAGGGTGCTGAATGCCAAGTCAGATGGCCAGCATTAGTTAGTAATAGGGAGTCATGGAGGGCTGTTGGTAGTAGAGAGATCTGCTATCCACAGGTGAGTTAGAAGAAGAGGCACCTGGGGCAGGAAGCTCATGGCTGTGTACCAGGTATTTGGCTGACTGTTAGGTATTTTGATCTCACTGAGCCTTCTGAATAACTGCAGGAGGTAAGCATT